TCAGTGCGTCACGATTTCAACAATAGCTTTAAATCTGTCAAGAATCAGAATAGTCATTTTCATTCACTCAAATCCATTGATGACCAAAAAAGTCCAGTGAACTAATGTGCCCCCTGTTCCTGAGGTATGGCGTTAAATAACATCAAGAAAACTTGATTTTAATTATTTGATCTTAAGAAAATTGTGTGAACCCTTATAATTTATACAAAGTTGTGGTTTATGAGGTCCAGATGATTCTCGGGTTCAAGTAAACGTTTGTACCAAAGTTGAAAGTTGTCCTTCCAGGTTTTCCTCAGATCCTGCAGTCATGACAATAAGATGGCATAAAAAGAAACAAGAGACTCAAAGAGTTCGGTCTACAAGGCTTTAATCTTACATAATGTAAATACAAGACAAAAGCTTGCCACACTCAAAGATGTTTCTTTACAAAGATGTAACCAGAAAGGTTTAAAAAAAAAACAAAAAACAAAAAAACCCACACAACAAAGTTAGCTAAATGACCTGTTCCTGAGAAGCTGCAACAACCATTGCAACAAAAAAAAAAAGAAACAAAAAGAAGAAGCTTGGAGTGAAACAATTTTCTGTTAAAGAGGTCTGGAATATTTACACAAAAATCCTACTTGTAGTTGTACTTCACAAAAATGCACACGCCCACTCATTAAGAGGAAGCTGTTTTTTAAAAAATGAAAAGAAAATTTTTTTTTGTAAAGAACACAATGTTCACTTTTATTTAGGTTACAAAGTGAGAACAGTTATAGATGTGGAAGCCCTGCAGCGAAAGAGAAATAAACCGTTTTCCCTTTTTTTGTCAAAAGTGGACAGCAAAGTAACCGGCGGGTAAGTCACAGCTGTAGTTTGGATGCAAAGTTAACTGTACACTGGCAGACTGCTCGCTGCATTGAAATGGCTTTAGACGTAGAAAACACTCAAAGGGTTTAAAGAGGCGTCCCACAACAGTCTGTGTTACCGAGACTGAAGAGACACTGTGCGTTTCGACAGAAAACCTGTAATACGGAAGCAGGTGTAAATGGTAAATAAAGATTCTTCAAAAAACTCAAATAGCACTATGTATGGTCTATGATGCTAAATACATTTTAATGTATTACATTAGCCTGAGTTATTTACAGTGCATGCATCAGTAGACTCTACACAGACACTTCTGAAGTGTTGCTGACAGAAAATGGACGAGTCCACATCGACAACCCGCAGAGAGGCAACAACTCTGTGAGGGACACAGCACGAGGGCGACAAGCACAGAAACAGGGAGGACTAAGCGTTTATGTACAGCTCCGAGCCGCCGCTAGTAGAAAGCTCATACATGAAGAAAAGTGAACATGGCTGCTTTTTTTTTGTTTGTTTTTTCCTGCCAAGTCACAGAAATCCCCTGAAGAAGCTTTTAGGTTATTGGAAATGTCACAGTCAAAAAAAGAAGTCTTTGTGGGTAAAGAAAAGCCCAACTCTTTGCACAATCTCTTATATTATGATATAAAACTGCTATGAAAACTGCTGGAAGCAACCTGCAAACCCCAATAAGGAAGCCATGTAGCCTAAACCATTACATGTGCCACCTAAAAAACAAAACCAAACCTACTGTATGTAGAAATCAAAGCCCGAACATCACAAACAATCTCATCTCAGCATCAGTCGTACAAAACATGATAAAAAAATGACACCTCAGAAGCGAGGTGCACCAAAGAAGCACTTGAATATCCTCACACACCCCTCTCACTTGCACAGATGCTAAATATAATAATAATGATTTTAAAAAATTTGATATCTTAACATGCTATAACATCTCGCTGGCAGCATCGGCCCTCACACATGCTCGTCTGTTCTTCATCCTCTTCTTCCATGTAACAACCAAAGGATTTATTTATTCATTAGGAAAAATAAATGAATAAATCAACTGTTGTCTATTCGTCATCTGGCACCGCTCTTAAAAGAGAAGAGAACAAGGATGAATGACAATGGAAGGAAGGGGGGAGAAGAGAGGCCAGTATTAAGCAATGTTTCCATCAGCAACTGGCAGCTCTGAAGGCTGGTGTGTGGGACTACCAAGAAGTTATTGTAAAGTAGAATATCCAACATGAAGGCTGAGTGAGGCTTTAGGCTCCTCTGCCTTTACCTTCTTAGGTACCACATGGAAGGAAAGCCTCTGCTGTTTTACTCATTCTCACGTTATTGTGACTCAAATGAAAGCAGGTTTGTTCACCAAATACACTCACAATTATTCAAATCAAACCCCCTGACGGACTTTCATCACAGTGTAGGCTATACAGGGGTCTCATTCTCCCCTCTTCCTCCCCCTCTCTTCCAGCTAAGGCCATCCCTCTCTTCAGCGGTACGGTAGGTTTGTATCCGGTCACATGGCAAAAGATCAGGTCTTAAAAATATCTATCTTTCTAAATATTGACACTGTTCGGTTTGCATGTCCTTTTGTGTATTCGCATGTGTGTTTTCCTCGTCCCTTACAGTGGTCCGTATTTGTTTTCATATCGCCCCACAACGTTCTTGTAGCGGCCGCATTCCTTCCGCAGCTCGGCCACCTCCGTCCGCAGCGCCGTGTTCTCACGCTCCAGGAACGCAGCTCGGACAGTGATCTGGTTCT